ACTGCTGCTTTAAAAACTATTTTTATAAAATTTTTGTAACTACCTAAGACTAAACTACACACACAGCAAACTAAAAATGGGAGAATTAAATGAGCAGCATAACAAGTCAGCACAAAATGCATGGTGAGTCACCATTGAAAGTATCTTCCAATCACTATGGCATCAAAAATACCAACTCCAACCATCATTATTGCAGCTTGGTATGTAAACTCTTCTGGTTCATTGTCTGCTGGTCTATGGTCTGCTGCTGCCACTGGTGCTGGCATTTCTTGCATCACAGGTTGACCATCTCCACCATCATGTACTGCTTCCTCTGAATGTGGCATTGGAGGATTACGATGCATAGAAATGAGACTGTAGTTTTTGTAGATAAAATGTAGTCGGTATAATATCTCAGCTACTCCTAGCAAAAAGATGTGCATATTTGTCAAGTCGCCATCATCCAAAACCACATCCTTTGTACGTATGTAAGTAACACCCATACAGACTACATGAAAAGCCATTATAGCACTGAAAACTAGGCTTGTTGAAGCATAGTACTGAAGTTCCCGAAGGCGTTCTCTATCATTAGGCGCTACATCTTGAGCCCATGTCATTTGAAAGATAGTGAGAAAGAGCAAAGTGATCAATGGTAATATTATGATGACCTGAAAAATGTGGTCAAACTCAGTAACGTAGGTCTTGTAGATAAATGCAAACATCCAGATCTCATAGGAATGGAGGCTGAGTAGAGCAATGTTCTGACGAAAATCATGAAAAGCTGCAAAAATAATCCTGAAAAATCCAGTAATATTCGTAATCTCAAGAATAAGAGAGCAAGACAGATAAGTCACACTGAACCAAACGCACAGGCAGCAAACTTGGGATGGTGTAACAGGCCCCCAGTAAGCGGCATATTTTGGCGAAACCTCCGGCAAGACAAGTGTCGGCATACTGAAAGTGATATCAAAATCAGGCTTTATGGTGACTATCATTCTCACAATAACCGAAACAAAGAGAACCGAGAGAGCCAGTGTCGCTAGAATGACTTTACAGATAGGATTACAGCACCACATCTTCAACAAACTCGAGAACAAGCTTTTATTGTCATAACTGTAATTATTGTAAACACCTATCTAGATCTACCCACGCAATTCCTTCCGAGTGAGTGAGCCCCGCAAATCATAATGATAGTCTATAAAAAACAACAATCAACTGCATAAACTATAAGCAGAGTGGATAATTATCCACCATCTCTGCTATCAGTAATGTGCTATAATAATATAAATGAGAGGAATAAATATAAATAACTGTATGTAGAGTCTATGTAGATCTATATAATGCTTGATTCATTTTTGCTTAGCCCATAAAACTTCAGCTGAAAGAATAGCCTCAAAACAGTATAAGTTTATTAAATTTATTTGTTACTGAATTGCTGCTTTAGAATTTATTTTTTTATACAAATTTTTGTAACTACCTAAGACTAAACTACAAGCACAGCAAACTAAAAATGGGAGAGTTTCATGAACAGCATATATAACAAGTCAGCACAAAAAAATGTTTTAAATGCAAGGTGAGTCACCATTTAAAAGTTTCCTCCAATCACTATGGCATCAAAGATAGTAAGTCCAACCACCATTATTGCAGCCTGGTATGTAAATTCGTCTGGTGCTGGCATGCGTGCCACAACAGGTTGACCATCTCTACCATCGTCAACTGCTCGCTCTCCAGGTGGCGTTGGAGGATTACGATACATATCAATGAGACTGTAGTTTTGGTATATAAAATGTAGCCGGTATAATATCTCAGCTACTCCTAGCAAAAAGATGTGCATATCTGTCAAGTCACCATCACCCAAAACTTCATCCTTTGAACGTATGAAATTAGTAAAGCCCATACAGACTACATGAAAAGCCATTGTAGCACTGTAAAGGAGGCTTGTTATAGCATAGTACTGAAGGTCCTTAAGTCGTTCTTCATCGTCAGGTGCTACATCTTGAGCCCATGTCATTTGAAAGATAGTGAGTAAGAGCAAAGTGATCAATGGTAATATTATGATGATCTGAAAAATGTAGTCAAACTCAGTGACGTAGGTTTTGTAGATAAATGCAAACATCCAGATCTCATAGGAATGGAGGCTGAGTAGAGCAATGTTCTGACGAAAATCATGAAAAGCTGCAAAAATAATCCTGAAAAATCCAGTAAACCTCGTAATCTCCCATATTAGAGAACAAGACAGATAAGTCATGCTGAGCCAAATGGAAAGGCAGCAAACTTGGGACGGAGTGACAGGCTCCCAGTGATCATATTTTGGTGAAATCTCTGGCAAAACAAGTGTCGGCATACTAAAAGTGATATCAAAACCAGGCTCTATGGTCACCATCATCCTGACAATAACCGAAACAAAGAGAACCGAGAGAGCCATTGCCGCCAGAATGGCTTTACAGCTGTAGATACGGTTACAGTACATCCTCAACATCGGCATGCTTCACCAATTCAATCTCTGTCTTTGTAAGAAAAAAATCAAGAAAATTGTAATCGCTTGTTTCAATTGTAAACAAACCCACCCATTCCCTTCTGAATTGAATTTACAGTGAGTGAGCTCCGCAAATCATGCTACAATCAACTGCTTATAAGTCATAATGGAGTGATAATGTGCTCCAATAATATAAATGAGAGGAATAAATATAAATAACTGTATGTATGTAGATCTGTATATGCTTGATTCATTTTTGCTTAGCCCATAAAACTTCAGCTGAAAGAATAGCTTCAAAACATATTGAAACTGATAAATCATCATCATGACAACCTAATGGTAGGATTTCTGACATCAGTATTATATACTAAACACCATTTTACTTCTAATAATTGATGAAGAAAGCTTTGAAAAGGGAGAGGAGCTTGTCGTTGTGGGGGTCTGTACTAAAGTGTATTTCTTGATGCAGTTTCCAATTAAAAGATTCTAAAAACAAGTAATAGTAAATGGTAGTGTTTAGCAACAACTTTAAAAATTCGTAAATAATCCAATTTTGATTGGAATCATCTCAAACTTTCCACACAACAAAAGAACATGTATATGCATCAGGAAAGAATATAAAAATGGAGAATTTTCCATTTTCAATTTTGGCAAAGTCCCTGTACTAATGTACAGGCCTACAGGGACTTTGACCTGATTTTTGAAAAATTTTAAAAATTCTAAAAAACACCACCTCTAATATGTCCTCTAGACTGACTCTCTGAAGAACACCTTTAAAGTGATCCAATAATGCCACCTATAAGAAAGAAATAATTTCAGTGACTACCAAATAATTAGAAAACTTGCCATGGTGACACCAGGATGGGTAATTATGTAAGAAAGGACTCCGTCTTGAAATTGAGGAAGAATACTTGATTCCTGTTCTTCTTTCTGTATCCATGGTCTAATCGGTATCTCCTCATTATCTAGTTTAAAATACCAGCTGGTCTTATGACTGGTGGATACATAAAGGGTAAATGCAGTACCAACCCTAAAGATCTGAAAAATAAGGAATTGAGATGAAACCATTCCTAAATGGGAAAGAAATTATTTGTTTCTTAACACTTCTTTCTATAAAAGTGCTAATATCATTATTTTGGTATGGTCTATAACACCATAACTTATCCTCCAAAAGCAGTACACAATTAACATGCATCCACTGACCAGATCAAAGTTGATCAGATCTTGAAGAATTTTCACAAAATCTCTTCCCTCCTCTCTCTCTTGCTCAGTAGTTCTCTTCCTCAGCGTTTCCATGGCAACCCCTTTGTTACCGGCTCCATCAATGATAGTATAAATCTGTCTTGCTGTTTCTATGGCAACAGAAGAGTAACCAAGATGAGTAGAAGCAAAGGCAGCAAAAGACTCAAAAGAAACTTCTTCCGATAAGCCGACACCCAAAACTTCCTTTTCTCCTTTTTCCTCTTCATCCAAGGGGTCCAGCAAGCACCCAATATTGACAGGGGGTCTGATATGCAGCATTCCATGCTGCAGGTGAGATGACTCATCAATATTCAGTAAAGTACCGATACCGGCTTTCATCATAGGACCTGAAGTGTGGGGTTTAGCATGTCCCTGGTGCTCTTGAGCTAATCCTCTTCTTTCCAAACTGCTCTTTCTTAAACTCTCTCCTTCAGTAGTCACTTCCATCTCTTCTTGTATGTTTGATTCTTGAGCTTCCATGTTCCTCTCTCCTTCTCTCTCTTCGTCTTCCTCTTCGCCGGCTTCAACTTCCGCCATTGCTAACTGAACAAGGTTTCTTGACAAGACGCTGTTAGGATCGTTGATGAGTAGGGGATCGGCAAACTGGGGCTCACAAACACTCTAGAAAATAAAATAAAAATAAAATTTTAATAGAAATATCAATACACATTTACTGTCCTCCTCTCTCTTACTCTGTTCCTAATTGAAGGATTTTCTAGCAGCTGATAAATGAGGTACGAGACTTGACCGCCAGATATAGCATCAGTTTTAATTTCAAAATCCTTCTCAGACGATGAAGCTAAAGCCTCACTCAATTGACTGAAAAATTCTTTACCGTAACGGCCATCAAACAGCTGGTATAAACTAACAAAGATAAAACATTGAGGAACATGATACTATAGGTTTATAAGCTTTACTTAGCTCCTAATTTTAACCCTCTGTTGTCTAACACTCCTGTAGTTGTGCCTGGAGTTGCTTTCTAAAAAGAGCAAAAAATTAACACATGCCATTTATACTTAAATGTACCTACCTTTCCAGCTACATACAAACGGGATTTTAGACAATTTATGACTCGTTGTATATCAGCCTAAGTGTGCACCATACAGTTGTATGTACACGAATTAATTGGAGGATAAAAGAATATAAAGAATAGATTGTGCATGTTTTCTGTTGTTGATTACTTCAGGAAAAGTTTCCAAGAGTTTGTAAATGTCGTAGGATTCAATGCCATCAGAATCAGGACCAACCACAGCCTGAAAGAGAAAGAGAGAGAGAACAGATTGTGACAAAAAGTACACATGTACATGTGAACTGGGTACTATCTATCTTGTGCATTACCAGTATAGTATCCAGGACGTTAGTCTGAATATGTGTTAACGAGTCAAACTCATCAGTCTTGATATCCTATCAGGTATAACCAGTTATTAATAGGTGGAGGTATATGTAGTACCTCAGTCAGTGATGGCAGTACATAGTCTTCAGCTAGTTCCTCAAGGGTTGACGGGAGTATCTGGGTATTAGTTTGAAGGGAAATATTGATCATGTGACCGTCATGTGACCTGGGGCATAACAAGAAATTAAAACTGGTTTCCCAGAATGGAGCGGACTTACACATAGCGACTGAGAATGAACTCTAAAATGGAATCAAAGTTTTGATCAGGTACAGAACGACTCATTGAGCTCTGGAATAATAACACAATTAATAATAATAACATACTCTTATGAGCAATCATGACTCTCATGAAGGTTTGAGCTGCTACAAATAAAGTTTAAAGCTACAATGCATGGCTCATGTGAAAAGGATGCTATTACATGTATATACATTGTACCATTTCTTCAAGTATTTCATTGATGGTTAGCTCAAGGCTGTCATTAGAGTACATCTTTAATAATCTAATGAGTCTCCTGTGTATGACTGGGACATTTTTATCACTTGAAGACTACAAGAGAGAGAGGGGGGGGAGGGGGAGAGAGAGAGATGAGAGGGAGGAGGTTCAACAAGAACAGGGTACAATAAGCGAGAACCTTGAACTGCTTGTGAAGTGCATCTCTGAGTTTGCTCTGGTGAGTAGGAGGATGACCTAATTTGAGAAGAACTCTCGTAGCAAGATACGTTAGAAGGATCTACGAGAAAAGTCATAAAAACCAAGAACATGAAAACAATACTCTTACGAAATTATCTTCATGTGGAAACCACACTGATCGCTCTCTAGTTGTTCTTAAACTAAGAGCAGCTATATCTTCTGGACTAAAACCTACATGTACATTGTACATGTACATAAATTCAATAAAAATAAGAGGACTTACCTTTATAAGGTTTTAAAGATACGAGTGATGCTATACTTGTCTTCTCTTTTGCTTTCTGGTGAACTTTATGGGCAACTGAAGCAAGAGAAGGAGCGATACTATAAATAACCACACCGTTACTATTTATAGATTCTAACTTTTCAAAGCTTTCCTTGCTCTGTTTCGTTTTAAGCCACGCCCACCAGAATGAAGTAACTGTTTCGTTGAGGCAGAAATCTTTCCCAAACGAGCCCCTCCCTTTACTCCGCCCCTTTCCCATGCCCAGGGTTCCCTATTCTGATGCATAGACCACCTTTTCAAATTGTGTGAGAAGAGAGACGGTGGGATCCCACCTGCTCCAAATCCTTTCTGATCAAATTCAAAATTTGCTACTCTATTCTTCAATTTTGTATGAGGCAATGGGTAGACGTCAAATCTACCCGAACTATTTCTACTGCTCAACCTGCCACTGGCTAAAAATCACATGAAAATCACATGACTTTAATTACCATTATCGTTCATTCAAAGATACATGAATATAAAATATCTGCATAACTCACAGATTGTAATGGGCGTGGCAATGCATATTTTACGAAGCGTAAACCAGTAATGCTCTAAAGTTTTAAGAGAAGAGAGTGGGTGCTGCAAGACCGGAAATAATTTCTTTGCTTCCGAGAGAAAGAATGAGTGTCGAGGATTAGCAGCAGTTGTATCTAGTATCTCTAAGTTATAGTTAAGACTCACTGTAACCTTTAGAATAGAGAGAGAGAGAGGGGAGAGAGAGAGAGAGAGAGAGGAGTGAGATTAGAGAAACACATGCCCATAAATGGAATACCTTTCTTACATGTCTTTTAACCAGAGTTGGGTCATGGTTTAAAATCAGTAGCTTCATTGAAGCAAGTGATTCCAGTTCATTCCTTAACGTATACTGATCCCGGCTGTCATGAACATGTAGCCATTAATATAGACACTATCTATCATTGAGTTCTTACTCTTTGGTAGAGATCAGTTTCTTTATTTTATTAGGCAGCAAGTGAAAAGGTACTTTACTGTAAGTCTCGTCAGTAATATACCTTGATTTCTTAGAACTCTGTCAAAAAGAGAGAGAGAGGTGCTGATAAATAGTAAGGCACTTAAACAGAGGGTAATTTTAAAGCCAATTCCCCAACAAACTAATCCACTAAATACACTTGATAACATCCTTACCATCCTTGAAGAAGTGATGCCTACTATGTTCAGTAGTGACAAAGGCATGTGATACAACACATCGGATAAATTCAAGTTCCCACTCTCTCTGCTTGCCAGAGGCAATTGAGACACACTCCCCATCCACGGGTAAGTGGCTTCGGGAAAAATGGCCGCCACTGAATCATATCCAGTCTCTATAGCATCGGGCAGAGTCTCAGAATCATGGATGGGCTGAAACCCATGGAGCAAAATCCACAAATATAAGTGAAGGTGTTTGAGACGCTGAAACTTCGAACAGGTAAGAACCTGTTTGTATAAATAGAAAGGAGGCGTGGTTAGAGAAAGAGATATGAATGACAGAAACCTTTGGAGTTTTGACAGGATCATCATTATCACCTTCATCATCATCAGAAGAAACACACTAAAGGGAAGGGAGGGGAGAGAGAGGAAGAATAGGACACTACATTAGCTCATGTGCAGGTATACTGTACCTCAGCTTTTCTAAAGCAGATTTTTACAAGTTTTGCACCAAGACCTGTCTTGTACTCTTCAATTTGAGACTGAGAAATCTCAGACAAATAATAGATAGTGTACTAAAGAAAGAAGAATGTAATACACTAGTATACATGTATAATGTAATACACTAGTATACATGTATAATGTAATACACTAGTATACATGTATAATGTAATACACTAGTATACATGTATATGTAATACACTAGTATACATGTATAATGTAATACACTAGTATACATGTATAATGTAATACACTAGTATACATGTATAATGTAATACACTAGTATACATGTATAATATAATACACTAGTATACATGTATAATGTAATACACTAGTATACATGTATAATGTAATACACTAGTATACATGTATAATGTAATACACTAGTATACATGTATAATGTAATACACTAGTATACATGTATAATGTAATACACTAGTATACATGTATAATGTAATACACTAGTATACATGTATATGTAATACACTAGTATACATGTATAATGTAATACACTAGTATACATGTATAATGTAATACACTAGTATACATGTATAATGTAATACACTAGTATACATGTATAATATAATACACTAGTATACATGTATAATGTAATACACTAGTATACATGTATAATGTAATACACTAGTATACATGTATAATGTAATACACTAGTATACATGTATAATGTAATACACTAGTATACATGTATAATGTAATACACTAGTATACATGTATAATGTAATACACTAGTATACATGTATAATGTAATACACTAGTATACATGTATAATGTAATACACTAGTATACATGTATAATGTAATACACTAGTATACATGTATAATATAATACACTAGTATACATGTATAATGTAATACACTAGTATACATGTATAATGTAATACACTAGTATACATGTATAATATAATACACTAGTATACATGTATAATGTAATACACTAGTATACATGTATAATGTAATACACTAGTATACATGTATAATGTAATACACTAGTATACATGTATAATATAATACACTAGTATACATGTATAATGTAATACACTAGTATACATGTATAATGTAATACACTAGTATACATGTATAATGTAATACACTAGTATACATGTATATGTACTACCTGCTTGTTAGTGTTAAAGTAAGGGAGACTAAACTCTTCTTTACAGATCTGTCCACTGTCCAATAACACTTTTAAGAGTCTTTTAGTGAAGTGGGCGGAGAATACAATTAATTAATGCTTTATTAATTACTTTGCCAATGTTCTTTTATCCAAAAAATTGATGCTTCCTTTCTCTTTCAAATACTGTGGGATGGGTGTGGTTAAATCATGGGTGTGGTCTAGCTTACATTTCTAAGTGCTACCGTGTTTTCAATTATTCTATTTTCGTTCATAAAAGTCATTATCAGATTAACCCTTTTTAGCTGATTCAGTGTCAATGCCTTAGCTAATAAATAATAATAATAATAATAATAAATAATAATAAATAATGCATTTACATTTTTCAATAGGTTTTGTCTCCGTTTCAGTTTCCATTGTTGGAGAAGGTTCTTCAGAAACTGGTCGAGGGGCAAGAGGAGAAATAGCCCCACCTAGCTCCCTATGACAAAATTAATGTATAAAAAATTTTATAAGGTTGACATTCTATTTTTGAAATACAAAAACCGTGTGTACATGTACATGTACATGTATCTATACACGTTTGGTTACTTTGAGGTATCAAGTTTAATTCTCTTCCTCTTTGGAGGCTTAGAGGAGGAAGGGTGTTTGGGATGGACAATGTCACAGCCGGTTTGAAGAGGAGACTGGAGCAATGGCTGGTTTGGGTTCTTTGCTCTTTCAGCCTCAAAATCAATGACGGATTTATTGTCCATAACGTGTCTCTGAGAGATTAGGCTACGAGAGAGAGGGGGAGGGGAAAGGAAGGATGGGGGAAGGAAGGAGAAGTGTGAATCAATACAATGGTGCCTCTATATAATGGACACTTTGAGTCAAGAAAGTGTCTCTGTTATACAGAGGTGTCCTTTATGTGGAGGTTATTTTATACAGTAAGGAATGTAATTGGTACACTAGGTGCTGTCCGTTAAATGGAGGTGTACGCTATAGAGAGTGTCCATTAAGAGAGGTACAAGTGTTGTGTGTATTTGTGGGTGTGTCTTACTTAATTGCCCTAACTTTAGATGCTCCAGAGTCCATCAATAGGGAGCTGATTGACTCTCTCTTTATCAAGTTGTTTGCCATAGAGCGACAAATGTAGCGATTCACTTTAAATGTTCTTTGGGTAAAATCCTAAAAATAAATAAATAAATAAATAAACTATGTACTCAAATTTCCCCAAAAATGAAAAGGAGATAACTCACCATTTTTATAATTTTTTCTCATACATACATGTACATGTATACATGTTCTTATGTTATGTAGAAAGTTAAAGCTGATTCCGATCAAAATTAGATTTTTTACAATTTTTAAAAGTTGCTCCAAAATCGGACAAAAGTCCCTGTACTATGGTCTCGGGCAAATTTTGCCAAAAATGTCAAGGTGAGAATTCTCCAATTTTATTACATTTTCTGATACATATACATGTACTTATGCTGTGTAGAAATTTTGAGTTGATTCCGATCAAAATTAGATTTTTTACGACTTTTTAAAGTTGCTCCAAAATCAGACAAAAGTCCCTGTACTATAGTACATGGTCTCGGGCAAATTTTGCCAAAAATGTCAAGGTGAGAATTCTCCAATTTTATTACATTTTCTGATACATATACATGTTCTTATGTTGTGTAGAAAGTTTGAGCTGATTCCAATCAAAATTGGATTTTTTATGAATTTTTAAAGTTGCTCCAAAATCAGACCAAAGTCCCTGTACTATAGTACAGTGACTTTGGCCAAATTTCGCCAAAAATGAAAAGGAGAGAATTCTCCATTTTTAATAATTTTCTGATACATATACATGTTCTTAAATGAGGTACTGTACATTATATTAAGGTTGATTACTCTCATTGTTATTCCAGTAGGTCCACTGTCATCAATAACACGATATGCTTGGATGTCCAATGGAAGCTCAGCAACAATAGACAGACTACCTGTACAATTAATAATAATAATAATAATAATAATAATAATAATTAATAATAATAATAATAATTAATAACAACAACAACAATAATGATAATAATAATAATAATAAATTAAATACACATACCTTGTGCCAGTTCTTCCTGCTCATCATCTTCATCTTTAACATCAGTGACACTGCTGCCACTATCCTCTATAGCAGGTGGTTCTTGTACTAATCTAATGAGCGGCTCTTTATTTCCCTCTCCCTCCTCCTCATCTTCAGGGCAGCTGCTACCGCTGGGGTATAACACTTCAATAGCTCCACTAGCCACCAAGGCAGTCTTAGTCACTTTGAATAGCCGTTTACCCTAAAAGAGTATCCAAAACTTTACGTGTACTAATTTTCAAGTACCATTTTCTCGCGACAAAATTTAAGAGGAGCAGTGTGATTAGGAGATGTTAAAAGTATGTCATACAATATCTGATCGCTGGTACTCATTTTACCAAAACCATAATACTGAGGAGAGAACCTCTTGAGAAAGACGACATGAATTGATTGAAGGGACTTTGCTTGAGGTGGTTTTAACTTCATTACCTTAGGAGTTAAGAGAGACGGGGGTAAGGAGAGAAAGGAAAGAAAAAAAGGAGCTCATTTTCACCTGCAACCATTTTACCATAAAATCCCAACCTTGACATCAACGAGATCCATTTTAGTCAGAACCTTCACAAAGTGAAAGGTGCTACGAGGATCAATACCCAAATAGTTCTTCGTGATGCTTGTCCTGAAGATCCCACGGGACCGAGAGATCCCAACAATCTCAAGAAGTGAGTACTTTATATCGGAAGGCACTAGAGAGGGGTCTAAGTGTGACGGAAAGAGTGACCTCTCACGGCAGGTTTGAGAGCCAACGAGGACAATGGAGTCCTTACCATACCTTGGAGAGGAAGAGAGCATACTTTAAAAGCTCATTTTATAAGCAACACATTGAACACTGTACATACAAATTTTGATGAGATCCATCAAATTTTAAAACTAAAAACCCAAATTTCCTGTCTTTTAAAATACATATGCTTCGTCTTACTTTTCCTCAACCTCCTTCAATGACCTATTCGAGGAGGACAATATGTCACTGGTGATGTCTTCTCTCTCGTAATAAGAGGTACAGGATCCTTTCACTCCTCTCTCAATATCCACTATCATCTTGTTCTTGTGAGTTGGTACAAACTCCTCCCAAAAGGCACCACTCTCCAATACCTGTGACAATTGTGGACACCATCAGTGTATGCAACCCAAATTTGGTCGTGTATAAATATACATGTACATGCACATGCACATGTATATACTTTGTGTTTAGGAAATGGTTCCTGTGGAGGTAGTGGTGAGATGGTCTTGTATATTCTGATCATTTTAGTAAAGGTGAGTATCTGAGCCCAGAGATATTCTCTAACAGAAGAGGAGGAGACATCAAGGGGAAGGGGAGGAGAACGAGCCAAGAGATGGTCCCATAATTGACCAGGCGTGCAACCTGAGGAATTATTGAAGTCTTTTAAAATAGTTTTAACAAACCTTCTAGTCCAGAAAGACCAATCTCGTCAAGAACAACATCCAAAACAGACGCCATTTTTATTCAAATGAAAATGGGCGTTGTTATATTATACCCACGTGACAAAACGTGCTCTTGAAATATCATTTTTACTCAGAAAGTAAAAATTAGACCTAATGCGGTAGATCTATTTGCCTTTGGGGCGGGTCGGCCACACCTTCGAAAATCAAACAGGCCACACCTCTCTTTCTTGGCGTTGTGTGTGGTGATCCTCTACCTTCTCTTTTATCCAGTTATTCTTTATGTTGCTCTTTTAGCAGAGGGACAAGGAGCCGAGTTCTTAGAGAAAGAGAGGTAGAGGGAGTATATCTCTTCTCTTACTGCCCTCCTCTTGGCCTCTCTCTATAATTCCAGAGAGAGAGAGAGAGAGGAGTTTCCATTCACCTCCCGTCCCCCTTTTGTGTTTGGGTAAGGAAATGTCAAGCCTCTCTTTTCTATTTAGAATTATTTTTCGTTTATTTATATTGCTTACTACGTGGATACTGGACATACAGGGAGAGAAACAAAGAGAAAGTTGTCAAACAAAATACCAAACCTACTCCTCTTGGACTAGATCAAGTACATACTAATTTAATTATAATCCATTTTAAATCGAAAGCTTCCTCACTGGTTATGCATTAATTCAGTATTGTAATGTGGGGCTTTGATACAGTAATGGATATTAATGGACAAAGGGAACAGGAAGACTGTGGTACATGTACTGGTAGAGTTGATGGTGCCAAGTTCTCTGAGTGTGTGCTAATCATTAACACTCTTCTATTCATTTTATACTTGTTGATTTCTAAGGGCCGTTGCATGTCTCACACGCATCCACATCCTCTGTATGTACATGTACATGTACTTCACCATTTTAGTATCTTACATGTACATCTGCTCGTACTTTTGGGGTCTCTGTTTCATTCAGTACCTGTTTTTCATTGGTGCAGCTGCCTTTTACTGTAAACCATTTTGTTGTGCAATCCTGTGCATCATTACTATACTTGGACTGGTGGCACAGGATACGGGGAATAATAAACTGGTTTTGGAAACCTGTTTATTCACAGAGTGTTAACTAGGTTTGTAGTATGAAGTTGTACACTGTGGTAGAGAAGGAGAGAGAGGGAGAGAGAGGGGGGGAGAGGCTGTGTACATTTACATTATCAAGTAAATGAAGAAAGGAAATGACATAGACAAGAGGAAATAGAGAGAGAGAGGGGGGATTAAAGTTGTTTATGTGGTACTGACTCTTTTTGGTTTGTGTATTATTATTTCATGGTAATCTCAGTCCATAGACGTTACAAATGCTTTGTGAGTTGTGGCATGCACCCGTGCCTCTGTTTAATCTTTTAATTTATTTTGTCAAACTTCTTGTAAACAACTGCTTGGATATGTCATAATGTCATCATTACGTGTGTGCTTTTTCTCCCCCTCTCCCTAATTCCCGTTCCTTCTCCTTTATTTTAGATATGACAACAAGTACCCAGGGCCAAGCAGTCATTCCCGAGGAGCCCACCACTAACAATCACTTGAATGAAGCCCAACCCATTTCACATCAATCCTCATCCTCTTTATTGTCAAAAGGACTCCTTGTTGTAGGTGATAAGATATTTCCAGGACCTGCTGATGTTTCTTCTCTGGCTAAAGAAGATGAGCAGTCTGGAACTCACAACTTACCAGACGTTGAAACTATGGGATCTTCTTCTCGGCCTAATGGCGTCATCATTGAAAATGGAGGAGAGACGAATGTGCACTTTGTATCATCAAAGGAAGAGGTGTTACCCACGGAACCAGAGAAACAAAAACAAGATGGAGGGCCTGTTGGGGGAGGAGTTACCCCGCCCATTCAGGACTCTCAAGACGGAGTAAAGAAGAAGGTTCTGGAGACCTTGGAGGTAGAGGAACACATTGTTAACACGTCTCCTACCGGCCGTTTCGTGAAATACGAGCAAGAGATCGGAAGAGGATCGTTTAAGACTGTCTATAAGGGACTGGATACTGAAACTGGTGTAGCTGTGGCGTGGTGTGAACTACTGGTGAGAGAGAGAGAGAGAGAGAGAGAGAGAGAGAGAGAGAGAGAGAGAGAGAGAGAGAGAGAGAGAGAGAGAGAGAGAGAGAGAGAGAGGAGGGAGAGAAGAATAGATGTACATGTACATGCTAGAAGGATGGAAAGGGAAAGTTTTAAT